TTGCATCAGCTTATGCTTCTGTCGCTCGGGGATGAAACTCTCAGCGAGCACCATCCACAAGAATGAATGTCGAAGCAAGGATGAATACCATGGCCACGAACCACAATGCCATCAATCAACCCAAGCATTAGGAGCAAGGGCTGGTAGATATGACGGTCTGGAAGAGCCGATATAGATTTTGTTCCAAAAGCTTCGTCTTGAAGACCAAGATGGGATCTGATGCTGCAGTTCCCATTGTTGATGCCCCCTGAAGAGACCAGACTTCGGTAGCAACTTCTTGGAGCCGCCGTAAACGCGTTCGATATTTTGTCGCTGCTCTTGGAATACTCGACACTCCGTATGTTCGGAACGCTTGGGGGCCATCGTAGCTTCTGCTCAAGGAGTATCAAGTAAATTCAGGCGTAAATCCAGCTCGATAACTTCTGAGCCTGACAAGATCCAAACCCAGAGCAAACGGGACTGCCGGTAACATGATATCACCACGAAGCGGTAACTGCGAGAAGGGTCGCTATATCGGAGGTTGAATACGGAAAGAGGGTCATCGCAGGCTCGTAGGTAGCGGTCCATCGTCTCGGCCGGTGAAGGTGTCGGCGTGTTCGGTAGTTCGCAGAAGCTTCGAAGAGTACAGGTAGTTGTTAGTGAGAGGTTCCTCTCGAAATTCTTCAAGGGGCTCTATGAGGAAAGGCTCAAAGGCAGAAGTCCTTTGATGAAGAAAGAAGACTCACCCTGGCGTTAACACTTTCAACAGGTTGATGAGACTCCGTGTTGTTCAATGACGACCGTACGGAGTATGGCCTGAAAAGGTCAACGTCGATGAACGCAATCAAGACTGCCAGAGCCTGGAGAAACCACTAGGCATGGAATGGACTCAGTCTTTTAATAGTCCATCGATCTACCGACAAGGAAGAAGCATCCCATCAAGACATGACGATCGTCTCAACCCTAGAACGCCATGTGGACGACTGGGGCGCGTCTTGACAGTTTGGCCCTTCATGGCGAAGCGAGGAAGGACAAGATCGAGAGAGTTGCAGTAGCGTGTCGGCGAGAGAGGGACTAGAGGGAGTCAGCAGGGAATAAGGGTCAACAGCAGACTAGCTACTTACCTGGTCAGTTGCTCGAATGAGAAGAAGAGATGGAAAAAGAAAAGAGAAGTTGAGAGAAGAGACAGCTAGGAAGGTAGGTAGGTATGCAACAATTGGCAGATGGGATGAGAAAAGAGAAAACAACTGTGTTAGTAGGTCTAGCTCGACGCGAGGTGAGGAGAGTGTAGGGATGGGTAAGCAGTGGTGACGAGCGCCACAGCGGCCGGAAGGGAGCCGGAACGCGAGACCCCGGACAATCTCTTGCAGCACAAGGGGGGGCTAGTGCCGGGCCCGATGACTTGTGACGGTACCTCGATGTGCTGGCTTTTCATCAGTCCATGCTGGAGAGGGTCAGTCTTGGCTCGACCAGGTGTTCATGGATCGAGTCCGCTCAGATCTGCTTCGTTTGGCCTGCGTCCTGGGCTCAAAGCGGAGGCAAGCCTCGGAGGTGCGCCGGACGGGGGAGGGGTCGATTCCCCGGGGTGGGCAAATGCCGGAGGCGAGCAGCCCGTAGAGCCTCATAGTGGAGCTTGACTGCCATGGCGTCGCTGATGACCAGAGAAATCACCAGTCACATCAGACAGTTGACTGTTGTGAAACACACGGATCGCCAGAGTCCCCTCTGGAGAGGCAACGCTTGCATTCCAGAGGCCGCCCGTCTTGGTTAGGATCCAGTTGCAACTGCCATCATGGCGGATTAAGGAACCCCACCTCCGGCCTCCAGTCCTCGTTTGACATTGCCAGGCGATCAGCTCCGCGTGGAGTTGCAGCTGAGACATCGATTCATAACCAGCACCATACTCTCGGAGTCATTACAGAAACATGGCAATCTGGTGGACCTGCATTTGCACACGTCACAAAGAGATTGTTCTCCAGCACTCAGTCTTTGCTGTCGAGTTTCTTACACCGCTATTTGGAGATACGGGCCTGCAAACCGCGGGCTCGGCCCGCACACACAGTCCGGGATCAATCGACAAAGAAGCAAACAACAAAAGTGGCCAGGCCAGGTATTGCAATTCAACCACAGGTGCACTTTTCGGTGAAGGAGGGATGTTTGAGAGGGCCTTGTCCCTGTGTTGTCTGTTGGGTTTGGGAGGCTAAGAAGCCTTGGCTCCCTTCTCTGCTTCCACGCCCCTCGGAGCACGGCTCAATCTTGACTCCCACTGGTGGATTCATCCAATAGATGCAATGAGGTGCCGTCTGGAGGTTGAAAAAGACTTCCCTGCATTTGGCGCCCTGACCTCATTTCCGCCCGGCTGCCTTGTCCTCCAAACCCACAAGGCAACCTAGGCAGTGATTTTGATGTGACGCAAGTATCTCAATTGAGGGTCTTGCAGTTCATTGCTGGCGCTTGTCACCAATATGGCACGACGCTTCCGTTAGCTGACCTCTGGTTATCGCCCAGTGGTTGGGATAGGGTCTTCAGGGTTGGCACGACCCGAGGCTGAGCACAGACATCCAAGGATGGAAGCCAGATTGACGTGCTTCTCAACTGATGCAAACCCTGCGGAACTTGCTTTGGTTGCTCTTTGACAGCTCGAGTTTTGTCTAGGAAGCCTTGTCTAAGAGCGTCGCAGTCGCGTAGACAGAAGTCACCCTCCAATCCGAAAACGAATAGGCAACAAAGCTTGGACGAGGACAAGGGTTGTTACACTGCAAATTTTGCAGTCATTGATACAATGAGGCTCAAATGGCTGGTTCGCCTGGTTCGCCTTGTTGCCTTGTCTGAATCGAGACATGATCAGTGCGTACGGATAACACGTTTCTGTCCGGTTTTCCGTTTGTTTGTAAATAAACAATTATCGCTGTTAAAGGTTTCTTGATCGTTGGCGGGACATTACTGGTTGGCCTCGAGTGTAGCTGTGAATATTCAACAGTAGAAACTAAAAGACTGGTCCCTGAATCTTCCCGTCAAGCGACTCTCTCAAGCACAATGCAGCCGGCCTAAAGCATGAATTTTCTTGTATATTGACACTGTCGAGATGTCCACTGTGACCCCTGGGGCCATGCGTATCTCGACGCGTTCGGAACAGGTCCGCAAACTCGTACTTGCTGATCATTTCCTTGCAACCCCCCACACGAACTGAAAACCCTGGGCCTAGAGCCTGGTAGTTGTTGGGTGTTTTCGTCTCTCAACAGCATGTTCCGGTATAGTTGTCAACTCAACATTTACAGTGGTATGGCATGGATCTATTGAGTGTGTGCGGAGAGAGACAGGGGAGAGTATCGGCGAAAGGGCTACCTTGGTTTGAAACGTTGGCCTATGCTCTCACCACAATTTGGGAGGCATCCAAGGTCAGAACTGGTCAAGCCGTCACGAGTTCGGCCACGTGAACCCCAATCATTCGTCTCTGCTGGCTGCATCTTTGAGGAGTGTGGTTCGTGCTTTTATTAAACCAGGGTCAACTGATGAAGTTTTGCCTCGCGGAGGTGTGCTGTGCCACACCCATCTTGAAAATTCTTTCGGTCATCCATACCTGTCTTATTTGATGAACCAGAGCACGGGATAACGGGCAGATGTGGCCTGCTTTGACGTGGTGCATCAATTGTGAGACAAGTTCCTGCATGGTCTCAATATTAATTTGCTACTCATATGGGATTATGGATCGGATGAGCTGTCATGATGGAGACGGTCCCCCGCAACTCGCCCCTTTCAGGCCCGCGACAGCGGGAGGAATGCCGGCGAACGCTCGTCTACCATGGTACCGGGATTACAGCCGTCTCGCCTTCGGAATCTCTCAGGCTACTGCTAGTGGGATCTCGCCAACATGGTACGATCGTCGATATAGCCGTATTACTTCGTAGGGCTGGGAACCTAGTCAGTATCTGATACTTTCGAGACTCTCGCCCGCCCCAAACTTGCTTTACTTGACTCCTAAACGACCACACATTTTCTGCAAACTCATCAAAGATTCCCCTTTTTCCAGTTTTTTTTACTGGGGGACCCTGCTGCCTGCAGCCGTTTCCTTATTCGCTGTCGTGCATTGGTGTGGCCGTTTCTGCGGCCTTAAGGGGTGTATAGAGATATATGAGATTACAGCCTCACTTTTTTCTGTATTGTTCACCCCCCCAACTTTCAGGACTGACTGACGGTTTCCAAAATTAGGCAGGATTAATCTAATTGACAGCAGTAAGGTCAGATAATCAGATTGCATGCTCAGCAAGGATGGCGGGTTCGCCGATGCGGTGTGTGTGGATGCTGTAATATCAGGTGCTGTAAGATAAGAATAATTGGACTGGATAAAATTGTGACACCATCATACGGACGCGAAATTGGCATCTGAAACATGATGTAGAGAAGTCATGGAGACGATGCAGATATGAACGGGTGGGTGTTGGTGACAAAATAATAGAGGATGTTACTGTGGGGTAGCTGCCTTGAAAGTGGTTGCGATACATTTGTCAACCTAAGCACGTGAATATCTTTTGGGCGAGGTGAACGAACTTCCCTTCCTCAATCGAGACAAGTTCCCGTCTTTGCAACCAACCCTCTCTCTTTGACCAAGCGCTCTCTGCGTTCGTTGAGCGCAAAACGTTCTGCCAATTCATTCTACCAGCCCGAAATGCCTCTCAGGAAGATGACTTTGCCGACTCTCCTGATGCCCTTCCTCTACACTCCTTCCCAGTGTCAATGAATTCGAAGACGCCTTTACACAAGTCACCTCGACCAAAGCGGACCGAGCCTTCCGATGTGAGATTGTGGCATGTCGATGCCACAAGCATCATCGACTTCGCAAGAAATAGATGATGCACTTCACTAGGCAGTGGGCTCGATAGAAAGGTAAAGACCAAAGACAAATATTATAGCTTTGACAAAGCTAACGTTAGACTCAAGCAGGACTCCGTTCCCGTTTTCTATACGAAACAAATGCAAAGACCCAATGCGACCTTTCTCTCCCACCCCGATCCCGAGCTTTTTTACCATAGCCCAACCAAGACACCGGCGACGACTGCAAACATGAAGCTTCCAGCCTCAGTCTTGATGCCCGAGTTGACGCAAGCTGTTCCAGTACATCCGGACTGGTCACCCTGTCCCTGAGAGGACTGATCCGATCCTGAACCGCCCGCGCTGCTGCCACTATCCGTTCCGTCACTTCCTTGACTGGAGCCATCTTGGCCAGTTGCGTCGCTACCAGATTGGCTTCCAGAGCTTCCGTTGCCGGAATCACTACCGCTCCCTGAGCTGCTACCGTCTCCCTGACCGCCTTGAGATCCGCTACCAGAGTCCTGTCCAGCGCCTCCAGCGCCTCCGTTGTTGTTACCTCCCTGGCCACCGTTATTGCCATTCCCACCATTTCCGTTATCCCCACCGCCAGGAGTTGGGCCCTGACCTGGAGGGCAGCCGCCAGGGGGACACGCAGGAGCAGTCCAGTTCTTGCCACCGCTTGGGGGACTGCATCCGTGGCAAGGCTGAGGGATAGGCTTGGCCCCGCCACAGTTGCCGCCAGGGCACTTTGTGCGATAGGGGCAGTCAACGACATCTGGGGGGCAGTCGTGGAAGACATCGCCAGGCTTGTGTCCTGGGTCGTTGGGGACCGGGGCAGGTGTCTGTCCAGGGGCTACAGGAGTAGCAACGTCGCCTGGGAACGGAACAAAGACGACTCTGGCGTCATTCCTCTTGTAGAGGTCATAGACCGGCCAGCCGCGGACGGTGGCACCTCCACAGGTTCCCTTGGACTTATCTGCCGGATCGCACCATTGGTTGCAGAGCGAGTTGTCCACCTTAGTCACCCGGTAGGGAATTGGGCTCGGCGACAAATCAAGGCGATCGCAAGCACAGGAGTTACCGTGGAAGGCGATGATGTTGCCATTGGTCGAGCAAGATGATGTGCACCCGGCCTGACCCAAGTCAAACTGTCGAGGAAAGGTTCCAGGCTTGATGGCAACGCAACCCAGATGCTGGAACTCGCCACCTTTAATGAGGCTGGGGTCGGGAGTCGACTGAGCATAAACGCCAGCGGCGATGAGGGTGGTAAGAAGAAGAGACTTGGCCATCTTGATTAGAATGACAAAGAACCAAAAAAATTAGAAGGAATGACTTGAACAAGGAGAAAAGAAAGACGAGGTGAAGGTTGATTGCCTAAGACAACTTGAGGATTCAGATGAGAAGAGGGTTCTTGTCTGGCGCTTAAGTAGCTCGTGGTGGAATCTTGTTGTCGATATCATTCCTCTTTCTGGCACTCAGGGGGAAACTGGGGTTTTATGGAATGAGGGCTGAACTCTACGATGGTTTCGCCTGGCCTACGACTTCGAGATTCCGACAACGTTCCAGTCAAACGTTAGCAGAGTGGCCGGTTTCAGCCCTCCTCGCAGCAACAGCTGAGACAGAATCCAGGCACGGCTGCTGTACGGGCGAATGAGATACCAAGAGGAGAGACATGGCACCCGCACTTGACAGAAAGCATCTGGTGGAATGAAACGGGTTCGCCGCCCTAGGACGAGACCACCGGCTGCAAGGTCAAGTGGTTTCACTTCGATCAGCCTTGAAAGGCATCCTGGGGATCTGGCAACAGCTATAAGCTTAATGCGTCTCTCAGCAGATGTGTCTCGGCTATAGTGGTTGGAATTCCTACGCAAGGGAGCCTCGACAGTGTGCCTGGCACGCGACCATCCACATCCCTTGACAACACCGTCCAGAAGCGGGAAGACAGATCGTAGGGCTCAGACGTGAGGATTTCTGACGTTTTCATTTGGCGAGCACCCGTGAAGATGCTTAAAGAGATGTCTTGGGTAGCATACGACCCGAAGCGTCTAGCTGAAAACCTGAGACATGTCAAGATCTGCAAGCGTTGGCTGTCCACTCACGAAAATCCCCGCGATGGCTTCACCTACCAATTCAAGGCATCACACAAGCCTTGAAATGCAGTGAAGCAAGCCTGTCACATGATGGCCTGATTCGGAAAGACACAGTGGTTCGCCTTGTCTGGTTGCCTTCCCGAATCAGGCTTTGTTGCCTTGTCGCGAAAAAGTAAACCGAGACGCGCCAGACAAAGACGAACCCTATGACGCGCTCTGATCGGACTGCAAAGTCTTCTTGATGCTCTGCTTTCGTAGCGTTGACGAAATTCAAACACATTAGCCTCTTGCTGATGCTCTCGCGAACCGACAAAAGAACTACCGATGTTCAACGACGAAGACCCCACCGCGATGCGAACGACGACCGAAACGAGAGAACATGATACTATTGATGTTGAGGGTTGAATACAGGGCTTTCAGTCAGTCTGTTGTTCTGTGAACAAGGCATTGTTGGCATTGTTGCGGGTTGAAGATGAGCACTGAGCACACACAAACGCCATGAACAATTCTCGCATCTGGCGAGAAACCAGCAAAGTCCAGCTCGCCGGTCCTCCCTTAAAAGGCTTCCATACTACCACGCCAAGTTCCAGCTCCTGGTCAACTGGCTGAGACATCACCACTCAAGCTGAAGGTTGCACTTTAACTGTCTTGTACACTGGGAACACACCGAGATCTGCATCACCAGATAACTCGCAACAACCTGCTTCCCCCTCCGTACTCGCCATGGAGGACTCAGAACTGGTCTTCTGGAAGGTCTTGTTCTACGTTGCCCTAGGCCTTGTGGGCGCCCTTCTCCTGGTTTGCAGTTGCCTGCTAGGAGGAAGACATTACAAAGACGAGGCCATCAAGGATGCCGAAAAATTCAGTCGGACCCTTCAACACCAGGCCCAGCTCTGGGAACAGGAACGTGACCGACGGGAAAGGGAGTACGAGTTAAGGCTTGAGGAGCAGAGACATAAGAACGCCGCCTTTCAGCAAAACTCGGAGATTCGGGATGATATGGACGATGTCATGGAGGAGAACAGAGTCCTTCGTGAGCAGAAAGATGCACTCAGCCAACGCAATGAGCAACTTGCGCAGGAGAGTTCTCGCCTGAGGATGGAGAATGCGGGACTGACGGTACAGATCTCCCAAGCCAAGCGGCCGGGACAGGAGGTTGGGCCGGGATTCGGGCTTAAGTCTGGGCTGGAGTTGAGGCCGGGGCCGGAGAGGGTGGTGAGCGTGGTGAACGTCGAGAACGTGGAGCCGGGGCTACCGCGCAACCCCTCGTCGACGTTGTTCGGCTCAGGGCTACCCCCAGGATCGACTTACAGCTTGGAGGCTGCTGTCCAAAACGGCTCAGATAGCCCTGGGTCTCACTACTCGCTCCCGCCAACCTCAGAACCGGGCAGTCCTGAACGCACAGAGCTGCCTCCATCCCCTTCTGACGACGGGCAGGACCCAAACAAGCTCAACCCTGCGAGTGGTATGTTGACGATGGGCGGCCTTTTGCCAGGCTCCAAGCAGCGCAACACATGGTCTGGGGTTGAGGATTCGGTATCATCCCGCCCTGTGCATGAAGGCAAGGAGTGGGAACCCGCGGCCCCTGGCCAGCGACGCTTAAGCAACTGAGGGGGATCTACAAGCAAATTAACGTTAGAAGATGAGTTTACGGCCTCCTTTCTTTTCCTTTAACCCCTTTCTACTCTTTGTCTGGATCGAGTCAAGTGACCGGCCCCCCTTACCCTTGGCCTTTGCTGAGATACTGGTTTCAGTATAGTTGTAGTGCAACTTGGTAAATTTACCTGCTCAAGAGAAGCCCTTGGGGCCAAATCATTTATCCTCTTCTTGCCATGACACTGCATGCAAGTGCTGCAATGTCCATCTCACCCAAACACAATAAAATCCATGTGGTATCTAGAAACAGTCCTGGAATTGAACATCAACAATTCTCACCATCTTAGAAAAATTTGCCCTTGAGCCCTCCCAGTACCACATTCCTCTTTTGCTTGTTGATATACTTGTTCACGTCATTTGCCCATCCTGCACTCTGCTCCTGGAGGTTCTCCATATTGTCACCCATCATGTTAAGCTTCTCCGTCCTCTCGTTCAGCTGCCTCGTGAGGTAGTCTCCCCACCCTTCTTGGGAATTTGAGCCTGATGCCAAGGGCTCGCCGGTTCTAGCGGCACGTTGCTCAGCGGCAGCTGCATCCATCATGCGCTGGCTGGGTGGTCGATCGGGGCCACCGACCAGTAGATCTAGATCCATTGGGGAAATGTATTGTGTTCCCGAGATCCATTGGAGGTTGGAGATGGTCGGGCGAGGAGGACATTCAAGCTTTGGGTTGATCATGACATCGGGCGACTGTTGAGGCCCCTTGCCTGTGCCCCAGACGTGAATGACAGCCAATTCGCTAGGTCCTGACCAGGCAAAGATGTCTCCCGTCTGGGTCACGACCGAAGCCGTGCTCCGGCTGACGTCCATCATGGGCAGGTCAGCTTTGCCTATCTCTTTAAGGCCTGGAATAGAGAACGCCCGTGCTGTTCTATCTCCGAACACGCCTACAACGGCAAAACCTTGCAACTCAAGCTCCGCTACGGAGGCCGCATCGCATAGGATGTTGTCAAACTCCTTGGATGCGCCCTTGGAGTTGGCTGGTCTGAAGATGCGAATCTCGGTTTGTGTAACTGTAACCTGTCAGCCGTAAATCACCATATTGGCTACTGAGACAAACCTGCTACCACCACGCCATTGACTTGGCGTCCTTCTCTGAGGCCTGCGACTATTGGTCCAGTGGCAAAGGCTGGCTTGCCAGTATCAGCCTCGATGGGACTGAGTGAAATGATCTTGCCGTCAAAAGAGACAACGCCCGCTGGCTGGGCAGTGTAACTTCCATCCTGGCCCGGGAGCAGCTTAAAGGTGACGACCTTGCCCAGATTTGTTCCCACAAAGCAGCAAATGCTGGAATATTTGTCCTCATCCAACGTCATGACGCCAAACTCGATCACGACAGGCCACTCCTTTTGTGGCTCCGAGGCCGAGTGGTGACCCTTCAAGAAACTAGATCGCTTGTCTTGCTTTGCAAAGTCCGTCATGGGAGCCTGGAAAATGATGGAGGGCCCTCTGAGGTCGATCAATGTCAGAAATCCCAACTCTGAACCCACAGCCACGAAGCCGACGTTGGACACTTGGACAGCCGTGATGGGTCCTGACACCATCTCGTATAGAATGGCGGGCTGAAGTCCTTCCTTGAGACCCGGTTCAGCCCTCGAGCTGATGTCTGTCAACCCCTTGGGGTTCGGGTCAAGTTGTGGCGACTTGTCTTGGCCGAAAAAGCGGTTGCCGCCCCAGCGAAAGATGATGGCCTCGCCTGTTCGTGTTCCTACTACAAACTCTCCCGTGCTAGGTGCCATGTTCATGCATGTGATGTCGATATCATCAAATCGGTCCAGTGCTCGAGCCACATCCACTTGCAGTTGAGTCCCATTCTCAATATCGTCAGCATGACCAGAATCCCATATTCTGATGGTGCTGTCGGCATGAGCGGCCTGGATGATGGTGCGCTCTTCGTATCTCTTTCGAGGTCTTTGGGCTTCAGCACCTCCCTTCACCAGCGGCTCTCCTTGGTTGCGCTTCTCAAACATAGACAGCCATCTGGGCCTTTCAAGACACGACACATTTACCTTTGTGACAAACGGATGAACAAAAGAGATAGATGGGTGGAGTTGATTGGTAGGACTGATTGGGAATCCAGAGGGAAAGCTCATGGTGATGAGCTCACCAGATGACAGCAGGGTAATGACGGCAATGGGATCCTGGGCACCGGCGAAATGGGGCGAGAAGCGAGGGATGAGGAGGAAATCGACAGCCTGGGCGCCAGCAGGGAGAGGAAGGGGAGTCTGTCGCTTTCCACGAGTGTAGTTTGCAAGAACTTGCCATGTTGAGGTGGCATAAACCGGCGTCTGCCCAAGATCAATAAAGGTCAGGCCTTTGGGCGACGCGTCAGGCTTTTGTCCACCGGCAATGAGCAGACCACTGTCGTCGCAGTTCTCCTTGCAGCACCAGGCAATCTTGGTGATGGGCTCGTTCAAGGAGGGAGACACGTCGGGTGATGGCTGGTTGACATTGAACTCAGTAAGCGTCCTGGCCATAATGACCCTTTCCTCCTTGGGATCCCAGAAAACCAGACTTCCATCTTCGTGAGCGGTCAAAATAAAGGTTCCCGAGGGATGCCACAAGGCGTGCGTGACCCTTGGCTTTCGGACCGTATCGGCAGCCACGCCGTTGCCGCCCGGAGCACCCGCTGGGAGGACGTATTCGTAGAATTGCACGGCTTTGTTCTGCTTGAACGAGTAGGAGACGGCTCCGTTGGTGTAGGCCAAAAGCAGCTTTCCGACGTCTCTTGGGTGAAGCGACATGGACACGAGGTTGGAGATCTTTGCGCTGGGGTCCTTTTCCTTCCAGAAATTGGGCAGGCGGAAAGATCGAGCCAAGCTTCCTCGATCAAGGTCAAAGGCCATCACGTCGCCATTCTGCAAGCCAATAAAGGCCCAATCCAGCATGGGATCTGTCAGGAGACAGGCGACCTGACCAGCGACGACCATGGCGGCAACTCGATCGCCCGTATCGAGATCCCAGACTCCCAACTCATTTTTGGCATCCACACTGACGAGGCGGTTCGCGCAGAACTGTAGGGTACGGAAGGAGGTGTTTCGGGGAGGCTGGAGGACCTTTTGGACACGACGCTGGCCAAAGATGTATATCTTTCCGGGACCAAACTTGGTCTCGCTGGTTCCGATGGCTAGGAGGGACTGGACGGGCTCGTACGCGTAGCAGCTGTCGAGAGTCAGAGAAGGTCGGAGAGAAGGGACAACTAGAAAGAGGCTGGCGGGGTTGGGCGGGAATGCATGCTCACCTTACTTGGGAATTAATCCCATACCTGGCTTGATCGTCAGGCAGGAATAGCTCGGGTCTGATGCTCGCGGACAAGTCATTTTGCATGCCCGTCTGCTTGCCTCGCAGGAAAGCCGCCATTTTGAGATGATGCTTGCTCAGCTGAGCTGGTGTTGAAGAAGTTGTCTCTTGTCGCAGCTCAAGAGGGAGCTCCCGGGCCCCAAGTGTTTTTAGTGGGGGAGTGAGCCAGAGCCAGAGCCAGAGCTTCCGAGAGACCTGCAACGTCATCCATGGTCCGTGCAGGTGGACAGTGATAAGAGAACTGTGTATGCACTGTGGTTCCCGTAGCACCTGATATTAATGCCGATAGCCTCTCTTCTATCTCCCAACTCACACCTTATACCACTTACTTTCGACTGCCTATACAGCTATCCATTTCCAACTTGTTTTTTCTCCTCTGAAATCTACAATTATCACACGATATCATCACCAAAAACCTTTCTATACCCGCTCCACAACGTCCAACCTCCCATCATTCACAGCCCATGATTCTTGGCTGCACAGCCCCAAACCCAGACTGGTATTGGAACAAGGCCAGTCAGTGCTCTTCTCCCTTTTTTTTTCAGCGTGATTAATCCCAAGATTCGACCAATGCTGTCAAGCCGAGACGGAACACCGGCAGACCCGGAAGCTTGGCGTGGCCAGATTCTCAAAAAATGTTGAGAATGGCTGCTAGTTTACATACAGCACACATAGATAGTATGTCGACCGTTGCGACTAGCTACCGAGTGGCTTTGGTTAGTCTGTGCGTTTGAGCTGCGCTTTGATAGTAAGTTGCATAGATCTACGGTGATTTATATCACACACCGCTGGTTGGTTTGACCTTGTGCAAGTGCAAGTGCAGGTGCCAACGTGAGGATCCATGTCGTTCCCTGACTGCCGATGAACCATGATTGCCGAGATGCATCTTTAAAGTGTATATAAATTCATTTGTAGTCTGTGTGAATCGTTGTCCTCTTCAACTACAAGGATCTCGCTTGTGAACTTGTGGCTTAAGCTTAGTTATTAGACGGCGTTGGATATTGTCTAGTTTCAATAGTATGTCTCTTTGTCTTGACTAGGCATTATCAAGCCTCGACAATGTTTGAATATAGTTGCACAAGGTTTTTAGATATTGCTTGTTGTCTCTTTGCGGGCGAGTTGCAGAGAACTGCACTGATCGGATGATCAGAGTCTAGAAACTCGTTGACAGTTGTCAATAACTCCAGCATGACAATGGTTTTTTTTTTTTTTTTCACATCGAGGTATGTTCTCTCTTCTCTCGATCTATTCTTGTGTTAGTTTGGAATTATCAGCGGCATGCCCACTCCTTCGCGAGGCGTTCTGGAAAATGTCTTGTCAGCCAGCCGAGAATTCAAAGCTGTAACCTCTCATCCAACCAAACCTATGCGTCACCCATCTCAAACAGTTCTCAAACCCTCATCCATGTCCATGGGATGAACGAAATCACACGCATTAGTGTCCGACACCTGTCGTGCTACGACGTTTAGGCATAGGAGCAGAACCATCCCGTGACAGTCTTGACAACTCAGTAACCTGGCAAGAAACAAGGCGGTTCCGTGGAAGCTCGAGTAGACTACATGAGCCATTAATATTCCACGGCAGATTAATACCCTGAACCAAGTCTCGAGGCTTGCGGTATCGAAATGCTGGGCTTCAATCGAGACCAAGCGACACC